ACTAGGCACTTTACATCTATGGTGAGTCGTCCAATTACTAGTCTTGCTCTACACCCACCCAAGTGGGCGGCAGCTTAACAGTCATGTGCTCTACACCCACCCAACTGGGCGGCAGCTTTGCAGTAATGTGCTCCACACCCACCCAACTGGGCGGACGCTTAACAGTAATGTGCTCCACACCCACCCAACTGGGCGGACGCTTAACAGTCATGTGCTCTACACCCCCCCAACTGGGCGGCAGCTTAACAGTCATGTGCTCCACAACCACCTAACTGGGCGGCAGCTTAAGTCATGTGCACTACACCCACCCAACTGGGCGGCAGCTTAAGTCATGTGCTCTACACCCACCCAACTGGGCGGCAGCTTAACAGTCATGTGCTCTACACCCACCCAACTGGGAGGCAGCTTAAGTCGTGTGCTCCACAACCACCTAACTGGGCGGCAGCTTAACAGTCATGTGCTCTACACCCACCCAACTGGGCGGCAGCTTAACAGTCATGTGCTCTACACCCACCCAACTGGGCGGCAGCTTAACAGTCATGTGCTCCACACCCACCCAACTGGGCGGCAGCTTTACAATCATTTGCATGAATTACTTACAGTAAGCAAATTTTAGATACTTCGCTAAGATTTTGGGCAGCACATCATTATAAATGAAGTACTTACACTTTTCTTGGACACCAATGATGGTGTTATCTCTGAATTCCGCGATTTTTTTTAAATTCCAGTACTGTATATAATGACGCAAAGTATGCGAAGAGTTCTGCAATAGTGATCCTATCCTGCGTCATAATTTACATACATATCTACTTCTGTTTTGTGTATTAAAATTACTACATTTTTGTTAATTTATTTCTGTAAATGATGATGATGATAAATTTCAATAAATGTAAGTAAGAACGGAAACTGGTTGCGTAAATGGAAATGGTTGGGTACATTTCCTTTCACCTAATGCGACTATTCATGTGTCCGGACACTGGCGACGGTGTGGTATTGCCTATTTATTTGACCATATCTTTGCTTTCATTTAAGATATGTTTTCCTTGAAATGTATTTACATTATCGTCTACATCTGTCTTTATTCTGAAATAAAAAATCTTTGACGTTACTTTGCATATATGTACATTAATTATAAAATTGATTGGCTTGTGTGCAGGCCTTCACACTCCCTGAGCGAGCCATCAAGTAACTATAAAAAGGCATATATCTTCACTTTCACTTCAGTTATATTTATACCAAAGTATTAACATGCAGCTTATATGTCTTTCTGATGACATAAAAAACTTCGTTTTTTACAATATCTAGATTCAATTAACGTTGATCTTCAAAAGGTCGTAGTTCCCATCGAAAGGGAGAGCGTCGGCCAAGAAGCCTTGTTTAAAATATGAATATTTTTCCTCTCTAATAAGGTATAATCTCTGTGATGCATTAACACAAACTATTTTATATCTGCCTTTCTGATAACATATACAAATATAATCTTTATTTGTGAATATTTGTTAATTAAGCAATATATCAGAGGGCGTGTAGGGTTCGGTGTTCTATGAACGATGAACGAAAAGGACATGAGTAGTTTAAATAGCGAACGCATACCAACGAATAACGCTAGTATCTATATAACAAATTTATTGTCATGTGGAATTGATTTAACTTCCAGACACTTTTTTTTTAATAAATATTAAACATTTTGTACCTGTTTATGAAAAATATTATTATAAATACACATTCTACTTGTTAATATTACCAATAAAATTTGCGACAATTTGAGCCATGAAATACGACGACTGGATCACTGTGTGCAGGAGGCTAATATGGCAGCAAACTCTCCAGGCGACCATATATCTTGGATAAGTCGCTCCACAAAATTGTCGCTTGGACCATCGACTTCCTATGGCGTCACCTCTCACATATTTACGTCTTATTTCGTTATGAAATTAGATTATTTCAGAGTAAAAATAGGTTTGATCATGTTCTACGTGTAGCACCAACATTATATTAAGTAAATATACCATATTTCTTCATTACTTACGTAATGCTAGGACGATTTGTGTAGTTTTGGGCCGATTTGGGCTGATTTGGGTAATTCTATGGACCCCGGGGACGTATTTACTACCAGGTGAAGAAAACGAGACAAAATAAGATCAGGTGAAAGGAAACGCGCAGCAACACCCTGTATGTCTGCTCTATAACCCCCTGTATCTCCCCTATACAACCCCCCTGTATGTCAGCTCTATAACCCCCTGTATCTCCCCTCTACAACCTCCTGTATCTCTCCTGTATGTCTGCTCTACAACCCCTTATATGACTGCTCTACAAGTCCCCATGTATGTCCGTTCTACAACCTCCTGAATGTATGCTGCAGAACCCCATACATATCATCTCTACATCTGTCTCATCTCTACAAGCCTCTGTATGGCTCGTCTACAACCATTTACACGTCTGCTCTAAAACTCTGTACTATACTGTACAACCATCTGCATGTCTGCTTACTACCCTGTACAGTGCTTTACAACCACCTGCATGTCTGCTTACGTCTCTGTACTGTTTCTACATTACAAATCTCTTCAACATTCACTCCACAGCCCTACTGATTCAGGCACTTCCCACGGGAAGTTGTTCAAATTGTCCGCTGGAAACCTCTACCTTTGGTTGGGGACTATCTCTTGCACATGTACTTGGTGGGAGGAGCTAATGCTGAGGAGTCTTAGGCCTCTGATATTCATACAATGTTATATGGATGTCCCTATGGCACCTCTGCTGGGTCACTGAAAACTTTCTGCCATGTCTTTTGCTCCAGTATTTTATTGTGCACATTTGGGAGGCAAACTTGGCATCTTGCAGGTATACATTATGTGATACTTTTTTCTCTTGTAACTTTTCCAGTGGGCATATTGTGCGCACATCGAGTCTTGGTAATTTAAAACTTTTAGTGTGCATATACATTTCGTTTATGTTCTCTGTAATCCTTTTATTAAAAAGTCTATCGTGGATGGTGAGGCCAGTACCAAGTAGTACTCATGGTGGGAAAGAACAAGTGATTTAAAAAAAAAAAAAAAAAAAAAGAGGATTGTGGTTCTATCTCTATTAGAGGGATCTTGTTCAATCCTGTTACTGTTTAGCTTATGCAATGCTTGCTCTGTTATGCTTAATAAATGCTACATCATCCTACATCAGTATGCCTAGAATATTTACACATTTAACACTTTTCCTCTCTGATGTCATAAAACCAAAACACCCAGAGTTCCTGATGACACAAATGTCATCATGCAAAACATTTTACATTGTCTTATTAATAAGTATAAATATTGTGGGTGAATGAGTTTGACATTGGGTTGTGCGCTCACCAGGAATGCTTGGGCCTACCTTCCAGTGCGATTTGGGTGCCCCGCCGAGCCAGTGAAAGTGTTAAGTTCCATAGAAAGCTCTGACCGTCTTGTGAACACTTTGGTCCGGACCCGTGTCTTGTGAACACAGGATATTACGGGTTGAGAGAGACTAGAGCCCTGAGAGCACTGCGAGTCTACCACAATGACTATGGAACGTTGACAAAGAGCATACAAAATGGCATAAAGTTCCACCATAAAGATTTTATTCTCCAGGGGGAAGGGGGCACATACAAGTCCCATCAGGGAAAACAACAGAGTAGCCAACACTATTGGTAGGCTTAGACCCATCAGTGAACAGAACAATGGATTCTGAGCAGGATGAAAAATGTTCAAGGAAAAGGTTTTTCAAAACTGAAGGGGAGGGGGGGTATAAGCCTTCGCCACATTGATCAGGGTCGTGCCAAATTTCACAAAGGGGACCCTCCATGGGGCAAAGCAGGAACAACACAGGGAGGGAGGGAGGGAATTATCAAGGGAAAGCACCAAGCCATTATGACTATATAGCACTTGGAAGGGGTCAGGATAAGGATTTGGAATGGGACGGGGGAAAGGAATGGTGCATAACCATTTGGACGGTCAGGGATTGAACACCGACCTGCATGAAGTGAGACCGTCGCTCTACCATCCAGCCCAAATGGTTGGACAAAGGAAATGGTTGGATTTCTTAAAGTTAAGAAATGGATCAATAGCAGATCATTATTATAATCGCTCCCTGTTATATATATGACACAGGACAGGCATTCGTGTTACATATACAACACAGGGAGAGATGATGCCAATGCAAATTCAGAGAACCTTCCAAATACACCTTGTAGTAAAAGATGGTGGTGAGGGGGAGCAGGGTACTCCTGAGGACACAGTAAATTTAGCGAGTAAATTCGAATGTTAAGCGCACAGTGTTTCAGGAAATTCCTTCTTCCTCGTATCTACAAACTTGCCGTTCCAGTTCATAAAAGGATCCTCTGCCTATACTAATAACTTGAAATAAATTTCAGTGAAATGATTACTCTGAACTTGCCAGTACCGCCTGGTTGAGATCAGACACGTCCTATATCTGGCAAGATCTCCAAGATTTTTGCAATTACTGTAGGCATTTTACACTTGTTGATAACTCCTGGGAGCAGCTAGAATGCCTGTCCTAACATAGCTACACACAGGTTTAACATGTGATGTTCCAGGGATCTACTTCCATATGGCCCAGTCTCTGACCAGGCCTCCTGGTTGGCCGTCTGGTCAACGAGGCTGTTGGGCACGGCTGCTTGCAGCCTGATGTAGGAGTCACAGCCTGGTTTATCAGGTATCTTTTGGAGGTGTTGAGTTCTCTTGAACACAGTGATAGGCTAGCCAGTTATGCCCCTTATTGGTCCAACATTAAAGTAATTTTGAACAAAATGTAACCTCTAACAAGCAAGTGTGTAAAACTAGTGGTCGATGATTGTCTAACTAGACAATTTCTACAATGTAACAGATTAGGCCTACATGCAAGTGTACAAGACTAGTGGCTACAAGAATGTAACACTACATGCACTTGTAAATGTTTCAAACTACTGACTACTCAGATGAGCCAATTTCCATTTCAATCAAGACATACTGGGAAATAAAGAAAACTAATAAAAAGTATGAGGATTTATTTGTTTTCCAAAATGCTGACAATTCATGGCACATCCACAAATCACTTGTTAATTAACCCAAGGTACTGTATTTAAATACAGTATGGTAAATAACAAGAAGGAATGATTTACAATCAAACCAAAATATCACAACTAAGAGGATGCCATTAACTAACAGAAAAGTGAGTTAGTTATTAAGACCACTTAAGTGACTTGACTATCATGATTCAGTGTGGCTGACAAATCACATCAAACATTTCTATCTAATGCTAGTGGTAAAATGTGCATTATAAATTAAAGCCATTGGAACACATGTTGATCCAAGAACACTACTCTAAGATGGTCATGCCAACCATCTACTCTACAACTTCCAAGATGCTCATATTGTTTCCCCGTCGTCTATTCTTCAGATGAGCCTGCAATTGCAAAGTGCATTAAAATAATGATCAAATTATCTTGAAAGTAATTATCTTAAAAGAATCATCTAAAGGTGGCATAAAGCCTAGAAGATTTTCAATTACTGGCATCTTAAAGTATAGTACGGTACACACAAATTAAAATTAAAAAGTAAATTTTATACTAATAAGTATATCAACTGTTATCTATGTTTTCTTGTTAAAGGAATTAAGATTGACAATATTCAGAAAATTAGTGATTATTAGGTGTGCTTTTTACATATCAATAGTGTGGAAATCTAAAATCAACGTGAAGCTCCTAACAGAATAACTATCGACAAAGTACTGCATCTACATTCCTTACAGTAGAAGCCAAAGATGCAGTTGTTGAAAAAAATGCATCTTACAGAAGGTAGCTAAAGATTAGTGAAAAGTAGTGCAATCAAGAGAACTAAGTAGATGAACAGCATGTCTCCAAATTACATATAAATCTTTGGTACAAGAAATGCTTTCCTGGATATGAGTAGGTTTCAACCGAGATGAGGTATGATTACAACTCTTGTTTCCAGTTGCACTAGGTTCCATATATGATAGTTACTATATGATGGTTCCCTACGTGATATAGCTAGTTAGTTTCAAAGAACATTCTCATGAAATAAATGTCTATGAGCAGGCTTCAGATGAGCTCAGGTAGAACAACAGCTCTTGCTTGCAGCTTTACTATGTAGGTATTTCACTCAACAGCCCTAATGAACCCTAATCTCAGTTAAGACAGAAATGGTTGGGCACATTTTCCTTCACCTGGTGCCTCTGTTCACCTAGAATTAACAGGTATCTGAGTTAGGCAGCTGTTGTGCCTGTATCATTAAGAGGGTCAATAGTTGGCCTAGGGAAAGCTTGATAGAGCAAAGTATGTGTACACTTTTCCTGTTCGTACAATGGGAATTATGAATTACATCATATATACATCCCTGACTTCTCGCTCCAATAATCCTCAAATAACTGATGCTCGGCATTTGCAATTTTCCTAATACAAATGGTACAAATCATGCTTTATTCTTTGCAGAGATACTAGAAGTTTTGCTCCAAAGGTGACTCAAGCATTAATACCATTAAATTTCAATATCCTATATAACCTGTCCAGATGGCTGTAAACTAAAACATGTACTGTACAGTGAAATATTCGTGGCAATGCACTAAAGTTTTTACTCTCCGCCTATATATGTATCGCATGAAAATTTGTAAACTGAAGTCTGTACACAAGGAGAAATGTAGCACTGTAGCAGGTCTCTTAATAAAGTATTTTATGCAACAATAATCATCCTGAATGAATTCATGGTGTAAGTAATTATCAAAAAGAAGGCACCAAGCCAAGAGGACTCGATACGAATGTCCCAACCTGTCGTCGCATTCTTGACCATCTCAACAATGCCTATAAAATTTATACTCTTTTTACGCTATCTCAGTTTGTGTTATAACTATCTGTGCACATGAATAAATCCACTCCATGCACAACCCTTTGCATACTCAAGGCAATGTGAATTCCACAACTCTCACAAAATACATTATAATTATAAATATAATAAATACAATAATCATAATTGTCCAATTGCACGAGCTATCGTGTTGTAGCTATAAGAAATGCACAAGAGGTGTGCAACATCTAATTTTTTATTGTTAAAAACTGAGATTTGTTTCGTTTCCCCTAGAAATTTTCTGGCAAACTTCCTGGATTTAGGGTTGATCTCTGATCGCCAAGCTCACAGTCCAAGCTAACCAAATTCCAATCATGGTTTCTGGTAGTCAGCAGTCATCACAGAGGCCTTTATGCTTCATAAGGTTTTATGGCACCAATGCTTTCAGCACTGGGGAGTTACCGAGAAAAACTAGCCTAAAGCATTATCAAACATTTTGTAGTCTTCAAAATGTTATGCGTCACAATGCCAACATAATACTGTTTAGTCAGACATCAGCATGCCTGGCTGGCTGAAACTCTCCACATTTCCTGTGGCTGCATCACAGTTTCTGATTAAATTATATCAATTTTAGTTTACCCAGATATTCATAAAACTGGAGACTAGTTGACTGAAATCCCATCATATTACATACAAGAATCACAATGCAATACTATACAGAACTTTAACTCACCTGTAATATGTCTATGTAAGGTTCTCTTCCTAAGAGATCATATCCCACCCCAAGGACATGGTAAATGGGTTTGTGAAACAATTCACTGCCAAATGAAAAGAGGTCCAGTCCCAACTCGAGTCCCATTCCTGTATCAAATAAAAAATTGGATGAGACCTTTTTCTTTAATATACTGTACAGTTATTCTTAAATATAAACCATTTGTAAAAACAAAAACAAAAATAATATTTTGAAGCAATCCATAAGTATTTAATACAAGGTTAACAAGCAGTTCGAGTACTTAAATTAACTGATAAAGGCTGCAAGCATGCAAAGATGAGTGTGCGGGCAAGGGCACGGAAGAGGTGAGGCTGCAGGAGAGGAGAGGGTGGGGAGAGGAAAGGGTGGGGAGAAGAGAGGTTGCAGGAGAGGGTCAGGAGAGAGAAGTGTGGGGGAGAGGGGCGAGCAGAGATGAGGGCACGAGAGAGGGAAAAGCAGTTTAAAACCTTGCAATCTGTTGTATATATCCCATAGAAGTGAAGGACATCTGGAGGAGAAGCTTTAAGCCCTGTCTTAAGCTTTACCCCTGTCCTGTCGTAATGGCATAAAAATAAAGTTTAAAACTTTGTGCAGAAAATAAGTTGCAATAACAATGAAAATAAACAGCTCAACCCCCACACACTAAGAGAGATGACATGCCAAAATGTTCCTTTTCCATGTGTGGCTTCTGTTAATTAACCCTTAAATGGCTTGGATAATTTAAAGCTCAACATTATGGTGCAAATGACAAAAGTAAGTTCACAAAACTAATGTAAAAAGTAAAAGAACATCACAGTTGGCGATTCAAGCGATTAGAGGTAATCGCATAGTGATTAAAGCCATTTAAGGGTTGAAGCTATGTGGTTGCTTAGGGGGGGGGGGGTAAAAAGCTTCTAAGCACTTACCAAAGTCTCCTTCATCATAAGCAAATTGGACATTGGTAATTAGTTCTTGTATATCATCAAAATGTTTTCTTCTTTCATTGTCACTTTTAGCATCGACAACTTTTTGGAACATCCTCCGCAAATTTGCTGTAACCAAGATAAATTACTGTATTAATTTAGCAGTTGTGATCGCTGTTCTTATGAACGTATTTGCAAATTTATAACACTACATAAATCTATAAAGGACTCCTATATTAAATACAAAAAATATAAAAAGTCCACAAACACTGTATACTGTATCTGATAAATCACACAAATAATGTTTTTGTTAATATTACTTGAACACCTTGCTAATGAGTGTGAAGAATTCACTCTCAATCAGCTTATCTTCTCCTTGATTAACCCTTTGACTGTGCTATGCAATAGCAAAGGACAAATAAAATGACCTTTTTAGAAATGGAAAGTGATCTCCATCTACATGCTCCCAAAATATTTCCAACTTTTGTAATGTATGACCAAGTCTTCTGACCTTCAAAATGGGACCCTGGGCCTGATAAAAGCTACCAGCAGTTGGCGGCAAAATCAAATTACCCACCATGTAGTTTGGCCAAAAATTGGCAATTTAGTTTTCATAAAACCATCATATCTATTTCCATATATCCTACATATTTAAGGTATGTTACTGAATGCTGCAACATGTTGTGCACAAAAGCATATACTTATTTAAACACTGATTTGATTTACAATGTACCAACAACATTAGACATTCTACAGCAGCTACTTACACCCTGGGCCACTCAATTCAAGTTTTCCAAGTTATTTGTTGGGTTATAACTATTAATTTGGTGTAAAAATGCTTGCAAGTTAATTCTCTAAAAGAATAGATGCCCCAAATTGTTTATTTATAATAGATTATGTTCAACAGCAATGAATATAATAATGTTCACGAATCACAATCAGATGAGGAGTTATAGGGTTGTTGGAATTTTACTGTTGGAGAACAGACGACATTTTAGTGCCATCAAAACAAAATTGTTAATGGCCAGTAACCCTGCTCTGTTAGACTGCACTCCTCTACTACATCTCAGCCATCACAACCAATCACTCTTTCCTCATCAACACAAAGGTGATTCTCACTCCTCACAGGTATCCCATAACTTGTGGTACATTTCCCAATTCATGGCTTAAGTGAACTATGTGATTGCAGGGGAGCCCAACACGCTGACTCAGAAATTCAATGAATGCAGATACCCTCACAGTGCTCAAACTCATTGATGCTCCAATGGCGGGTGGCAACTATGGGAGGCAACACTTCCCAGACCAGGACTCTGAAGCCCTACATTCCAGATCAGCTTTGCTGTAAAATATTTTAAAACATTCCATTCTCTGGCACACCTAGGGAGGGGGGGTGGGGTGCATGCTATGTAGCATCCAACAGAATACTGCGAATCAATGCCAAAGTTCAACATTGGGCTTGCTCGTGTGTCTAATATCAATGGGCAAAAAAAAATTAGCACATAGAGCCCTTGCACCAGTTTCAGTTACCCCCTGACCACTTCTATGAGGTGCATGTGGACATCATCGGGCTGTTACCATCAGCAAGAGGGTACTCCTACCGTCTCACATGTATTGACTGATCTGTCAGGTGGTTTAAGGCAATCCATCTGGTCAACATCACAGCAGATTCAGTGGCCCATGCCTTCCACTCCAGACGGGTCACACCAGAAATGTTCATTGATTATATGAACAATCTACCAGAAGGAGTACATATCTATATGAACATATTTGCTGATGATGCTAAGCTATTAGGGAAGATAAAAACTTGTATGAGAAAATATATGCACTTGCCCTTTAACATGACTAACAAAAGAAGTGCATGAAGCAACACTTGGCAAATGGAATTTAATGTGAATAATGTCACATTGTGGAATGTTTAAGAAGAGAAAATAGGCCCCAATACAACCTACAAATTATGTGAAAAAGCTTTAAAGAACTCTGATAAAGAAAGAGATCTTGGAGGGGTCTTAGATTGAAAACTGTTACCCAAAGACCACAAAGAACATTGTCTGAGGAACCTAGACTATACTTTTCAACTTCAGAATCACTTTTAACTGCATAGATTACAAAATATTAAAGAAATTGTTCATGACGGTCATGAGACCAAAATTGGAATATTCAGCAGTTGTATGGTACCCGTATCTCAAGAAGCACATCAATAAACTGGAAAAGGGGCAAAGACATACAACTAAATATCTATTTAGGTACATTTCTCCAGGTAACTTCAGGTAAATGACTTCCAAAACTGAAAAACTAGAAATAAGAGGAGAGGTTAGAGGTGTAAAATTTTGTAAAGCAAATTTGTCAGGAATTGGCAAAATTGACAGAGGAATCCTTGAAAACTAACTTCAAGAACAAGTGATCTATTCAAGCTAAGGATGCAAAGATGCCAAAAAATATAAGAATGCGCTCTTTGCAAACAGTGGTAGATGGATGGAAGTTAAATGAGGTGGTGGTGGAAGCCAAACCTATCAACAGCTACAATGCATCATACGAGAGTACTGGGATGACAGAACACCACGAATATTGCTCTCATTCCGCAACTACGCTTAAAAAATTACAGTATCATGTATTCATATATATAAAAATATTATATATAATGCAACCTACCAGGCATTTTGGGAACATTATAGCCAACCTTACCACACAGAGGAACCTACCAGGTGTTTCGGGAACTTCTCTATAGCCAACATCACCGTGCATAGGCACAACAATTCCAGCTCCATGGAAAGTCTTCGCAACAACTTGCTTATTTCTCTTCTTCATATCCTGCGTTACTGCCTCAAGTGAATACTTCTTCTTCTTCGCAAACAATTCAATTTCTCTGTATAGCCGCTGAAGGGGAACTTTCTTGAATGGATTCTCTTCCTTCATCTTTAGTGTTAAATACGAACTGTAGGGATAGTTAGTGTTGTCAATCACAAGCATGCAGAAAAGTTGGAAGAGTATTATACATTATTTTATATGTTCATTATTATAATTCCTGTTGTAGGGGACAGGAAACCGGTACTTTGGTTTATTTTCAAGCCAATAAGTAACCAACTGCTACAAGAGATTGTATTCTTAAATTGTCTATTGAAAATAATGGCAAGAAGACAAACTTCCTCCTTCACCCAACCACCTAAACGTATTGGCAGTGATGGCCTCACTTCTTGCTGGGTCAACATTCCATTACCATCAGTACAAGTGGTTTGGCAACATTCCTTCAGCCCTTCCTCATATCCCAGAGCCTTGTCCTTCTATCCCTTCCATCTGCTATATAAACATATGGGCTTAGCACTTTCTCCTGATAATCTCATTTCCTCTCTTTCATCTCTAGATGGACAGACAGATAGCTACACACACTTTATACAGTTACAGGATGACTTACAAAACTGACTTTCTCATTAACAACCACATTAATGTCACTTCCTTGTGCTACTTACCAAACTCCTGCAAAGATGTTTTCCCCAAGAGGTTTAATATTTCCTGGTTTTATCGATGACATTGAGGCTACAAAACTGGGCAGAGCAAAAGGATCGTCGCGGTAATAGCCAATGTGGTACTCGTTTTCATCACCAGCTACCACAGTCTGTAAATAATAAATATTTTACAAGATGCTTTGTGAGGTGTGAAGATTGGGCGAGGCATGTGAGGTGTGGAGATGGCAGGTGTTGGGCAAGGTAAGTGGGGTGTGGAGGTACTGGGTGTTGGGGAAGGTTTGTGGGGTGTGGAGGTAGTGGGTGTTGGAACCAGGTGGGTGGAGGTAGTTGTGTAGGCAACCTCGATGGTTTTAAAACTGAGATTACCCTGCCCAATTTAAAAATTATTTGAGAATAAAAAAAAGACAGCCTTAAAAGCCATATTGGCACTGGGTAATACTGCCCAACAACACAGGTAATCTCAGTTTCAGGACCATACACAAATGTAGAAGGCTTCCGTATAATATGATGAGGCATTTGAGATAATGAACAGAAATAAAGGAAAGAGACTTAGTGAAAGAATGCCAAGTGCAGTTCCTATAAAAGCTGTACACAATGAACTCAAGACCAAAAGGTCTGAAAAATTATTGAAGTCATATGCCGGAACTAAACTCGTGTCCCTTAAATCATGGTGCAGTCTGTAGTGCATGCCTGGGGAGCTCAGGGATGCGGGTTCAGTCCTAGCATAAAGCTTCAATCATTTCTCAGATATATCAGATTCTTGTGATTTCACTGTGTACACACTTGATGGAGATGTGCCTGTTTTTCTCAAAAAGACATGTACTTAAAATACTTCAAAAATATTCTCTAATTTTGTATAAATAAAGATTATAGCAGATGCTCATTAGCTGCCACAATTTAAATTGTGCACATCCTTTTGTCTAATTCTCAGTCAGTAATTCCCAACCATTTTTTGTTTGGGGGGGAACCCTGAAATATTTTGTCAAATCTTGAGAACCCACTACCTGGCTGACGAGTACAGTAAATTAGAAAATAGATGTGTAAAGCAGAGTTAATGAATAATAATTAACTCATACTTTTGAATAAAATATTACTAGAGCATATATTGCCTACTTATTAAATATTACCGTACTCAAGTATTTATTGCCTGGATGGGAATTGGTGCTGTATCTATATCTTGGATGACTTATTCCCATAACAACATGAGAATCAATGTGTTGACATACCATGCCAAAAACCTTAGAACCTATGCTGACCCATCTAACTTATTGAGGCCAAATGCCAGTGTCCAGAAATGAAGCAAGGACAAGTTTATCCCTCAATAATGGTCTTAAGCATTGGCTAGTTCTGTATGCGAGACAGTAAGAAAGTACAGTTCTTACAGTTCTGAGAATGCAGGTCAAATTATATTTGTTCCCCCATGCCAACAAAAGTCAACACCAAGAAACATAGCTCCCTGCCAATACAACTAGGCAAGCACAACTAGGCAAGAACAAAACAAAGCTAAATAGATATTAACCATAAATTCAGGAGGATCATAGTAGTAGCGCCAATGACAGACATAGCTGGATATCTTCCGAGTTTTTAAGCCCTTCAGCTTCCCCGTGAGAACATCATATGGGCCCACCAGTGTCAGACCAGCTTTCATTAGCGCCTCTGCAAACAATATATTACTAGTCATATTGACCCACTAGTGTTGGCCCAGCCTTAGTCTCTCCATAAACAAATATTACACCAGTAAAGTTCAATATGTAAAATATGTTAGTGCAGTAAAATAAAATATATAAAATGCAGCATAGTGTAATACTGTATATTACTACACTAGGAGTTTATTGGTATAGGAATGCATATCCCTAGTTAAAATCAAGAAACTGCTTGCATTAATTACTTGTGTATGCAAGCATTTTATCAATCACTCAATAAGTAGCAACTGACAAGATTCATAACTTAAATTGCCAAATCATAAAACCTGGAAATAAAAAAAAAATGATTTTTACACTCATTGGTCATAAACATCAAGGCTGCTTTGTTGCAGAATTGTCATCTAACTGATCTGGTTCACCACAATGATTTGCATCATTGCAAGTTCCTGTCACTGTTCTCGGAACATGACTTCAAGTTTCCAAACTTCAATGAGTCTAACCATTTCTCACAAGGTACATTTTTACTTCATTTATAATGTATAGTATTAATAATTTTGTTAATAATGCTCCATAACAAATTATGTTATTATTGAATACATTAACAATTTCAACTATTAATGTAGTTACTACCAATTCTACTATCATCTACTATGACTTGGCTTAATATGGAAAACTCAATATAAACTTGTACAACTGCACTGGTCGTAGTATTCTTTCCTGCATCATTTAACATGCATCAATCTACATTTATCGTCTGAAGTGATATCGATAATTTCTTTCCAACATCTAATATGTGCACTTAATTGATTTATGTACTTCCAATATCACTCCCTCATTCTACTAAACCACTGTGTTAACTAATGTAAGAACAATCTTATAACCCAAACAAAATTTAAGCTTTGAGATGCCACAATATACTGTACCTTCATTTTATTTATTCATTCATAACTATGATTTTACAAAATTATACATTTTCCCAGTGCTCTCCCACAAGCAGTAATATTCATACCCACTTTTCCTGGAAAGATTTTCCTTGTTCATTATAAAGAGGGTCACTATTCTTGCTTCAACAGCTTCAAGGAAGAACAAAAGCAGCAGTCCCTAATTCACAGTATGTAAAAATGTTGAAGTTTAACCAAATTAATTAAATTTGAATTTGTGGTGTTGGGGTGTTCATTAAATTTGTAATTAGTTTTTAATTAATTTTTTTGTGTGTGTGTAATTATCAGTGTAATTCCCTAAGTGTAGTTACACGATGAGAACTACGTTTGTGATGTCCCATTTCTCCGGTACTACCGTCATATAATGCTTAGAAACTAATAACAGTTTTTGCCTTCACAGCTTTCTAAATTTACTTATTCCAATTATCTACAACAGACTGCAAAAGAAATCTTTCTAATATTTTTGTTATTTGTTTCCTTAGCTTGAATCTAACTTCTTGAGGTTCCCCATTTCAGAAATTCCTCTATCAATTTGGTCAATTCCAGTTATTATTTTGTAAGTGGTGGTCACATCACCTCTTTCTTTTAGCTTCAGCATATTTAACACCTCTAGCCTCTCTTCATAACTCAAGTTTTTCAGGTCAGGAAGCCATTTCGTAGCATGCCTCTGCACCTTTTCCTGTTTACTGATGCGTTTCTCAAGATATGGGCACCATACAACTGCTGCATATTCCAATTTTCGTCTCGCTAGGGTCATTAAGAGTTTTAGTATTTCAACATCCATGTAATTAAAAGCAATTCTGAAGTTGGAAACCACAGCATATGGATCTCACACAATGTTCTTTGTGTGTTCATCTGGTGACTGTTTACTACCCACAACCACCCATAGATCTCTCTCTCTGTCGGAGTTCTTTAATTCCTTTCAACAATTTATATTGTGTGTGGTTATTTTCACCTACTCCACATTCCATAACAAGGCCTTTATTCACATTGAATTCCATTTGCCACATGGTACTCCAATCACTATAAACAATTTAAACAGTTCATAAAGTAGTCAATTACCTTCAGGTTTTTCCTTATTGATTTGTGAACAACAATCCCAGAAGTCAAAGAAATCATCCGGCATTTCTAGAAGAAACTTCTGTTCAATGCTAAACCGTACATCCTCGGGAGATTCAGCTACATTAAAATCTTTGACATTATCTTCGAACTGTGGTATTGGCAATTCACTATCTTCCTTATCATTTCCTGTAAAATAAATTTACAAAATTGTAAGAGGTGCATTTTATAAAACAAATGATGTATGGAGGGAGAGAGGGAATTATCAGGGGAAAGTGCCAAGCAATTATGCCTATATGGCACTTAGAAGGGATCAGGATAAGGATTTGGGATGGGATGGGAGAAAGGAATGGTGCCCAACAACTTGGACGGTCGGAGGTTGAACGCCGACCTGCACAAAGTGAGACCGTCGCTCTACCATCCAGTCCAAGTGGCTGGGCATAGAACAAAGGCAAATAAGAGCAATTAAAAGCATGAAATGTGTTTATATGAGGCAAATGTTCCTGTCTTTCTACTTTTAACTCTGCAGATATTCAACATAAAAGTGCTGTCCTTTACATCATAACATGGGTACATGTAAAGTGTCAGAACAGGATGACCAATGACCAGCATACATGAGCAACTTTCATGGGCAGAAAGATGGCCCTACAACCTACAGTACAATATTTACTTAAAACAAATGTAGTGGAACTCGCTAATAATTCTCATTTAATGTATGGGAGCTGTTAGAAGCCTACCTGTTACTCCTCCAATATGTTCCAGTTTGTAAGTGTTGAAACTTTTTTCTTGTTTCTTTTACTTAGGTGGTGCACAAGTATTTATGACTCACACAGGCAATTCATTGCCAAGTACTGTATAAACAAAATATTCCATTGAAACATTTGGGTGTGACATCTCTGAAATTGTATTTTGAACTGGTGAGGAAATGCTATTATCACAATGGAGATTTTGCTAAGCAGTGCAAAAGACACCTGGCATGTGGGATAGAAGCAACTGTGATGTCCTGTGGAAAATGTTACATTTGCAGTGTAAATATAAAAAATTTTAATTAGATATTAAAAAATTAAAAAATCAAATTGATATCAAAAGATAATTAAATAGCATGAAGTGAGGAATTTTTGGTAAATCAACAGAACTTGTTTTTAACAGATAACACCTTAAATTGAAGAGATTTTTAATAATAACCTTGACTAGTCCTTTGATCAGATGAATTACTAACTGTAGGTGGGCTCTCCTCACTGGCAGGAACTACAAACTCATCTGTGTTTGATTTGCGAGAGGTATTGGGGATTTCTTCTAAACTGGAATCAGTTTTTTGTTTCTTATGAGAGCCCCACATATCCTGAAATAATGAAATAATGGAATTAAGATAGTGAAGTGCATAATAAATAGTTGACCATCACATCATCACTGTCAATGCTGCAGTGTCACTACCATTAAATAATTGGCCATTACTTTTAGGTCAATGTTTCACTGTAGCTTTGTTATATGTATACAGTACATATATTACAGACAACAACATTTCAAGTCGAACAATACTGTATAACCACAAAAATGTATTCCAAGATAGAAAAAAAAACTAAATTCTGAATGACCAATCAATCCTAAATTATATTTTTCTGGGAACAATTCAAATTCCACTTTATTTTAAACCTTCCATTGTGCAAATCATATACAGTATGCATGATTTTGGCCTAATTGATTGCACTGTGCAAATCATATATATATACAATACACAGTATGTACTGTATATGTTTTAGAGCACTACACAAGATCTAAAATTCCTTCACATACACAGGGCTCACATTGCTTCCTCTGGACTCGGTAACCATCGTCCATCTTGAAAAAAAAATCTAGAGTCCCTCACTTTCCTTCTAGGGCCTTAGTAAAAAGACGAGGACCATGTATGGCACATCACCATCGAGTGTCTGGATGTGCAGGGCAGCCATACTACGAACCATTAAACTTTTAATAGCAACAAATGAGTGATTACGATGTATATATTTACAGGCAAAATGTGCTATGTGCAATTACAAGGCATCTAAATTGCCATGCCTCTGAAGAAGAAGGAAGAGAAGGTGCAGACAGAGTCAAGGTAGAATTCACCAACACCTCCAATTCCAGATCCCTAAACACAAGGTGGGCCAAATCCATAACATCCATCCGGACACACAACCTAGACTGCTGCAAGAAGGCAAAACGAACCCCACAAAGCAGTAGTAGCCACTTGGTACACACAAACACCAACTGGCATGCCAGATCAGAGCCACATGGGAGCTACAAACCCCACACAACTCTGGGTCATAGGTATTTTCAACCCAACCGACAGGCATAGTGGAGGCAGAATGATCGATCATCACCCCAAGGCACTTTCACTTGATGCCTCTGTTCACCTACCAGAAGAATTGGTACCCAGGAGTTAGGCTACTGTTGTGGGTTGCATCCTCAGATAGGTCAGTTAGTCCTATGAAGACCTCTCTTCACCTTGCAGTATAATAGATACCAGGAAGTTTGGCAATTGCTGTGGGATGCATCCAAGAAAATGTCAATAGGAGAATGCCTAGAGAAATTAGGGGAAATGCCTAGAGAAATTAGGGGAAATGCCTAGAGAAATTAGGGGAAATGCCTAGAGAAATTAGGGGAAATGCCTAGAGAAATTAGGGGAAATGCCTAGAGAAATTAGGGGAAATGCCTAGAGAAATTAGGGGAAATGCCTAGAGAAATTAGGGGAAATGCCTAGAGAAATTAGGGGAAATGCCTAGAGAAATTGGGGAAATGCCTAGAGAAATTGGGGAAATGCCTAGAGAAATTGGGGAAATGCCTAGGGAAAATAGGGGAAATGTCTAGGGGAAATAGGGGAAATGCCTAGGGAAACCTTGATAGACCCCAAGTACAGGCTTCATGTCCCTGACTTAACAGGAATTAAGACGAGCTCTAGGGTTTCCAAAAACTAACCACACAGCTTGTCTTCTACCTCCTTCCTTGCCTTGATTGTTAAGGACTTGGTCTAACCCTGTGGTTTACTGTTCATGTGCTCCAATCTCTTCAAGGCCCATGATGTATCTGATGGTCTTGTATGTTAGATCATCATGAATTATACTGTACTCCTCTTTCTGGTCATGGATAAAATCTTACTGCATCTTACATTCAGTGCTGATGGGGTTAGTCAACTGTGCCTTTTCCATGGCAAAGACATACAAGGTTACATAATGCTTGTCCACCAAAAATGATAGTACATACTGTATGTGTACTCTGAGTAGCAGCACATGTACCGACTGCTGTACGCCTCTTCCCTGAAAGTCCTGTTTTGTATTATTAATTTTATAGAGGACCCAAGAGATACAACCAAACCTTACAGGTTAAGGTTACGTTACATTAGGTTACAACCAAACCTACTAAGCCTAATATAGTACACATGCACACTAAATTAAGCCTAAGATGGTGCAGGTTAGGCCTAGTAGTGCTTATTATAGCCCATGGCAGGTTAGATGAGCATAACTAGAAATAAATAAAGAGCATAACACCATAAATTACAAACGTATAACATTTTTGTAGTGGGTTCAAGCGACAGGTTTACCAGAACTCCAGCTAATTATTATTAGTCTAAAACTATCAAATGTGACAAACTGAATTTTGTATTTATATTTAAACTTGAAATGTCACGTGTGAACTATAATATACAGTGATAACCATCACCCTTACTGGGGACGCGGGGAATACACCCTACTCTAGGTACTTCCTGTCATGCAAACACATTCACGCCACACACACACCAAAACACTACTTTAAACCAAAACATATTTGCTTCACGAGTAAATTAAGATTAATTTATGCTGGAATTTAACGAAAAAGAGGTTATATTATTGTTATCGCCCGTTGACAAACATCTCTCATATTTACACCTTGTCCTCGTCGGTAGTCTTCCTTTTTGGCGGGTGCTTGAACGCCTTGAGATGGTCCGCGTTCTTTCTGTAGCACTTTTCGCCATATTTACAGGCGGGACGAACGTCTTTTTGGTAAACGTTTCCATCATCATCACTCCCTCCCGCCATAACTCTGAACCTATCCCCCTCGAGCGTCACACGACAACTGAGGAACGCGGGAGCCCACAGCTGACTCGCCGCTGCCCAAACTCTCGTACATTCCAACACAAGCTTTCGTGCAAGTAATTTTTTTCAACTTAATGCTTTTAACATTAAACTAAGTTAACATTAAAAAACTTCATTCGTAAGGGATTTATAGAAAGCATTAAGGGTGAAGCTGGCGTGAACACGTGTGTGTGTGTATAGCCATAAAAAAAGATTTTTTTGTTTTTTTAAACAAAAAACATCTGTTTTTGTTTTTAAACATCTGTTAGTTTAAGGACTTGCCCGAAATGCTATGCGTACTAGTTTACAAGAATGTAAAATCAACTTAATTTCTATGTTCTCTGTTAACCCCCAATATATATATAGTTCTTGTATATAACTAAATAAATAAATTAATAAATAAATAACAAAAAAACTGATGTATCAAATTAAAAAAAGCAGAGGCTTTTCCAATTTAGCCTCTGCATGTATGGAGGGTTATTAAAGTCACGACGAGGTTAATGACCAACCATCAAACATACTTTAGTCCTGTGTACAAGACTAAACAAAACTCTCAGTGCAAGAAACTAGTAGTATATTGTGAAGACTAATAATAACAAACAGCAGCTTCCCTATAAATAATATCTCCATTGCTCAAACAAGTATTAGCGATAAGACCTACCATTATTGTATAATAATTTACTGTAAATAAGGGCGCCTGATAGCTGGGTGGACAGCGCTTCGGGTTCGTAGTCCTGAGGTTCCGGGTTCGATCCCTGGTGAAGGCGGAGACAAATGGGCAAAATATTTCTTTCATCCTGATCTCCCTGTTACCTAGCAGTAAATAGGCACCTGGGAGTTAGACAACTGCTGTGGGCTGCTTCCTGGGGGGGGGGTGTAACAAAAAAAAGAAGCCTAATCGAGGACCGGGCCGCGGGGACGCTAAAGCCGCGAAATCATTTCAAGATAACTTAAAGATAAGAAATATATAGCTCTTGAAATAGAACATTCTCTGTAACTAGCTGACATGTATTTTATTGTATATACATAAATAAATAAATAGATAAAAGTATTGTAATCATATGGTGTGAAGAATACATGAAATTGTTAATGTAATAATCTCCATTGAGGTCTGGGCACCTTTTGTGCCCTCTGTGATCCTTTTTTGCGCTACCGCTCACAGGATGAGTATGGGGGGGTTACAATAAACTAGCCGCCTCTGGCGCAACAATCAACAATCAATCTCAGAGCATATACACCAAGAAGTATGTACGCCTCAGTGTATACATCTCCTGCTTATTGTTTGATTCTACTGTATTATCTACCACAGACACAGTTGTAGCCACAGTGTCAACATTTTCAGGCGACCTTCAGGAAGAGGGTTAAAGAGCCGCGGCGCGAGTGTCCACAACACAGGTGTTGAATGTTATCCTCCGCATGATGCTGCCTCACAGCTGCACTCGTATGATTCACACTGCCTGCAGCGATTGATTGATTGATGAAGCCACCCCAAAAGGCGGCACGGGCATGAATAGCCCGTAAGTGGTGGCCCTTTTGAGCCATTACCAGTATCAAGAGATGATACTGGAGATTTGTGGAGGTGCGACTGTACCCTGCGTGACGGGAGATGTCTCCTGGGGTGCCTGCAGCAGCTCATGTGACCTTTACACCGCCGCCCACACCTTACCGGGGTGCAGGTTATCTTGAGATGATTTCGGGGTTTTAGTGTCCCCGCGGCCCGGTCCTCGACCAGGCCTCCACCCCCAGGATGCAGTCCGTGACAGCTGACTAACACCCAGGTATCTATTTTACTGCTAGGTAACAGGGGCATGATACAATCAGAATCAAACTTTATTTGTAATGATAGAATGAGAATCAGAAATTTTACTTGTAACGAAAGAACAAAATCAGGATTTTTTTGTAACGATGCAATCAGACACTTTTGTAACAACAACTTGTACAAAACGTTATAATAATGACTGGATGAAAGAGATGAAATGAAACTTACACTTATAGAAAAATTAAATAACATTTAGCTTAAAATTGCATTTACAAACGACTTAAATTAACAAAATTAACACACTCTCGTCCTGTGTCAGGGGGGGGGTGTAGGGGGGGACTTTGAGGTGACGACCTTGAGTTTGATAAACTATGAAGAGGCTGTTGATGCATGGACGTTACAAAATGATGTAACTGGTTCATCAGTTGAACAAATCCACAAGGGCCGTGACGAGGATTCGAACCTGCGTCCGGGAGCATCCCAGACACTGCCTTAATCGACTGAGCTACGACAGGGTAAAAGCTCCCGGACGTAGGTTCGAATCCTCGTCACGGCCCTTGTGGATTTGTTCATTTGATGCATCACGTTAGTGTGATCTCTGTGTGTGGTTCATCAGTACTCTAGCTTTGTTTACAAATAAACACACAACCGACTTGAGAATGGTCCCGGACGGGCCGAAACGTCGTCGTCCCTTCACTTTCTAGTGTGTGGTCTGGTCAACATATTTCAGCCACGTTATTGTGACTCCTCGTCTGCAAATAAACATAAAATTTCCTCCCGACATAAGTGAGTCTTTCGGTGACGACGGAAATATGTATGGTCAGTCTAGGGGCGCCAGGTCCACTCCTTGTGGCCTTAATGTGTTCTTATGTAGAGTTATTGTCCATGTGGCTGCGGGAAAGGAAGGCAGCTATCAGGAGAAAGTGCCAAGCCATTGCGACTATAAAGCCCTTGGAAGGGATCAGGATAAGGATTTGGGATCCGAGGGGAGGAAAGGAATGGTGCCCAACCACTTTGAGGGTCGGGGATTGAACGCAGACCTGCATGAAGCAAGACCGTCGCTCTACCGTCCACCCCAAGTGATGTATACCTTAGGGAACTAGGTGTACTGGTAGAGGAGGGGGGGGGACACGACCTACAGTATAGAAGGGGGGACACTGAAATGCCACAAATGGCTTTTAGTTATAAATAAATACAATATACAGAGTTGAGTCATAAAAGTTTGGCGTCAGATAATGTGTTGAAAGATAACAGCTTCAGTCTGGAAAGTTACACCTTGACCCAATAAGTTAGGTCTTGTGGTCAACATTAATGACCAAGTCAAATACTGTGACTTACTATGCTAATATTTGTGGTTGGTCACATGCTTCACCATCCTTTGAGGGTCCCAACGAAGAGCAGCTGCGTTGTCATTGTCCGATGGCTAGATAGGCCGAGGCTATTTCAGTGGGTCAAGCTTAGCTCCCCAGCTCCAAGATAAATAGTCGAGGAAGTCTATGAACAGACACATTCAGACTCAAGAACATTCACATTCAGACTCTGTATCCTCCATCAGAGAGCTATTTTGTAGCCTCCCACGGGAGTCTTGGAGTAATATTAGGAAGGCCAGATCCGACTTTCACGCCATTCTCTCCTGTGCCAGAGCATTGACAAATCCTAAAATACGTTGAGCGGGTAAACGGCAGGAGGAAGGCACTTTAACCTGACAGTCCACAGAAGGCACGGCCCAAGGCATCTGCGGCACCTTTGCTCACAGACCTGCATCCTCTCACTTCTGCCAGAGACAAGCTCCGACGACCACACCGGCGCCACTGTGTATTCACGGGTCGTAAATCACGTCGTGCGGGTGTAAGGCACAATAACTTGAACACACCTCCGAGAACAGTTAAAACGGAATTAGCGCGGCTCGACAGGCGGTTGCGGTTGGCCATTCGTGGCTGACTACGCTCGCTCCACTATACCCCAAATGCCTTCTTCCATGACGATGTTAAAGATGGTGGACTAGGAACTGTGGGGTTCAGTCTCAAAGCCCAATATGTGCCTCTGTAACTCTCTTCACTACCGCCCACAGGAGCATAATATGGGGTGCATAATAAACTAAAACTACCTAATCAACTCCATGTAACTTACCTTACCTCCTAAACAATAATAATAATATTTATTCATAAGATACAATGGGTTTGAGAGATTACATAAGATCGGTATTTATACATTCTTGAAAAGTCGCTAACATGCATAACCCACAGACGCTCCATTAAGGCAGCGTCTGCGATGCTCTTGGACGTCGGTTCGAACCCTCGTCACGGCCCTTGTGGATTTTTTTTAACATGCATAACGTTTCGGACAGGTCATGTCAAATATCAACCTATATCTTGCTATTATCAAACATTATTGATTAATGGTTAACTTGTAAAGCTGATGATATCTGTCATGTATAAACTTAAAGAAAATTGTATTCCATCTGCTTATTTACTTAAAATTACCAACTGCCTTTTTTTTCTTATCAGTTTTTTTCCTTTTGATCTCAATCAGTTTTAAGTCTTAGCTTTTAAGTGTAGTTTTATACATCACTAGTGGCTTTAGGCATAGTATATACTAACTCTATATATACAAAATCCATCATTCTGCTTGTAACTCATTTTATATGTATATATTTTTTCCTAAATAAAATTGTCATTGTCAAGAGGCGACTCGACCCGATGGTGGAGTGGGAGAATCCTGTAGGTGTGACAGCGGCTCTACTACCAGCAGCCCGGGCCCGAATGTGTTGATGGGTAGAGACAATAGAGCAAGGGGGGGGGCAAGAGAGCAAGGGGGGGGGGAAAGAGAGCAAGGGGGGGGGGCCAAGAGAGCAAGGGGAGACAACAGAGCAAAGGGGAACAATAGAGCAAAGGGGAGACAATAGAGCAAAAGGGGGGACTCAAGAGAACACATGGGAGAAGAGGGCCAAGGGAAGGGCGTGGGAGGAGGTATTCTGGGGAATGTTACGGGAGAATTTCCCTAGGGTTTTCCCCCAGGTGTACCGCTGATAGAGCGGCTGGGCGGCAGGTCTGGTCGGGGGCGTGTATTGCTCTCATGGAGGGAAGACTCTCTCTCCTGGTGCCTGAGGCACCAGGAGCCTCAGGACACCTTGCTCTTGTTATAGATTCAGCTACTCGGAACAAGTTCCAAGTAGCACGGGCTATGGTGAGCCCGTGGTGGACTTATCTGGCACAGGAGAGGTGCCCCGACACCTTGCTCTTGTTTCTTGCGTTAAGTAACACCTCTCCAGCATGTGAGCCCATGTGGCAAGACATGGGGCCGGATTCACGAAGCAGTTACGAAAGTGCTTACGAACACGTACATCTTTCCTCAATGTTTGACGGCTTTGGTTACATCTATTAAGCAGTTTACAAGCATGAAAACTTGCCAATCAACTGTTGTTATTGTTATAAACATCATCCTGTTGTTTCCAAGCTCCTTAACTGTTTAATAATTGTAAACAAAACCGCCAAAGATTGAGGAAAAGATGTACAGGTTCGTAAGTGTTTGCGTAACTTCTTCGTGAATCTGACCCATGGAATGTGGGCCATTTATGGTTCACACGTTGTGGACCGCGGCTCTCAGTGTGTCCACTGTTAGGCTTCATCCAACATTTACGTAACTATGTACGAAGCCTCTACATCTTCCCGTAATCATGGAGACCTTGTTTACATTTATTAGCCAGTTTGTAAGCTTTAGAAACTTGACCACCAAAGGTTATAGTTGTTATAAACAACCCCGGGTAATAAGCACACGGAATAGCCTACACCCGCCGAAGATTTTAGACTTAAGATATTACTTCTGTGCAATATTCAGTTGGAAAAAGTCCCCAGGAATAATGGTGGAGACTTTGGCAAGCCTCTGGCTTCCTGTCCCCGTGGAAATTGAGTACCCAAATGAGCCACAGAGACATTACAAACACCTTTTTCAGTGTCGGAGTAGTTAACAGATGGAATACATTAGGCAGCGATGTGA